CTAGCTAACCCATATAAATATCTCACTAAGAAAACACAAAACAGAATATCAAAACAAAAAATAAATAATAGATAAAAAAACTATGAACAAGAAACAATCTGACATTGATTGTTTAATTTAATGATGAACCAAGTGTTAAATCTTTAATTTTCACTTTTCAAGCAGCAGATAGCAACTCATGGAGTGGGTAAAAGAAGCATGGGTAAATTCTTTAATTAGAAAAACAGATAATAAGAAAAGAGAACAACGGATTGATTTTATAGCAAAATGAGTGTTAACTATATCTTTATCTAACCATTGAGGAGCAGGTAGTACTGATAGGCAAACTACAAGGAGCTTACTAAAAAATATCAAATCAAAAACATGAGAACATTCACAAATAACCTCAACCTATCTTCTGTTGCATCACCTATTTAGATTTTTGACCTGTTCTAATTGCAATAAGGGTAATAATATAAAGCATTCATTTTCTCCAACATAAGACACCTTATGAAACTATCTAGGATTTCCTTTAACTAAATTCATGCTTGAAGCTGCCAACACCTCACTCTAAATTAATATCAAAATCATCAATAAAGTGAGCTATCAAGAAAGGAAAAAAAATGTCTATCGCACTATCAATTCTTGAGAGTGTTAATTATAGATGGAATTAACAAATATCAAATACATATTAAGACCAGGCATTCAAAGAATTCCAACCACTCAAATTATTCCAACTCTTGCACTATTGAATTTAGCAATATAAGCAATGTAACTTCAAAATCAAGACAAGGAATTAAGCAAATAATTATCTCAAGTGGTCTTGCTCTGCACTGCATTGCACCGCACTGCACCGCATTGCACCGATCAAAAGCACCTTTTTTGAGAAGTTCGAGAGGAATGGTGGCCTATTCAGGTCAATCTTTGTGGGCAGCAAATAATTACCTTCGGATGGTGAGATTCATTACCAATTACTCCCTCAATTGTTTTCTACACACCCAAAAGGTTAGATTCGTTACCTTGACCATCTTATCAACATTGACAAATGTTCAATTCTCAAATTTCTAAATCATAAACAGGGGATTTTTAAAATCTAAGAAGAAGACACTAACCTAGAGTACTTGATGAGATTCAAAGGAGAAGACACAAATCCTAACGCAAAATCAAAATATGAGAAATCAAAATCAAAATGAATATCAAGTTTTAAGAGAATTAAAAATCAAAATTGAAGCTACAATCGTTGTAATCTAATGGAGAGATTTGAAGCTTACCTACCACAATTGGTTTAGGGTTTCTACTTACCCCTAGGGAAACACTTTGGAAATGAAAAAAATGAAAGAAAAATAACAATGAAATAGAAAAGAACCGAGAGATAGGGAGAGACGAGGGGATTCTGGGTTTTGAGAGAAAAATAAGATTAGCAATGAAATAACAATGACAGAGACTTTGTTTTGGGAAAATAATGTGAGGACTTAATTTTGGAGGGATTTTGACATGATGTCCTCCTTCATTTTATTTTTCAAGTTACAAGCACTTTTCAAGCATTGCAAATGGATAACATTTGCAAATGCAAAAGTGAGATACCCAAAAAGCACTATACCTAAGATTAAAATTCACAACACATATGGTAAATGCCTGAAATAAAGTGCAAACAAATCCCAAAATTCTCGTAGTGAGTTTGTGTAAACCTTTACATAAAGGCTCCTTATGTAATTGTTTCATATCATTCAATAATATCTCAATATACCTTCCTTTTAGTTTTCCCTTCTCTCTTTTCCATGCTTCAATTTATTCTACAACTAGAAAACTTAGTTCTCACTAATTCTCTTGCAAAGAGGATATTTTTAAATCTTATTTCTTAATTATCAACATTTATTTTTAATTAGCTAATTATATTGATATCCTTAGTTGCCAACGACCTAAGTAGGTCAATGGCATTCTTCTTCCATTGGAAGTAAAATGTCCTGAGTTCGAATCGTATGGCATGCAGGTGGAGTGAGATAAGAGATGAGAGAAAATTACCTCCCGTTATGCAAACAAAAAAAAAAAAAAAAAAAAAAATTGATATCCTTAGTTAATCAGTAAACACTTATGATTTAATGAATCATTTTCATAGAAAAAACTATACCATCATTCAGAATTGTATGCCACATGAGTTATTTTTTAAAAGTCAACAAAAAAAGATAAGAGTAATATGATCTGCACACATGACTATATATTTCCATCACTTTGGACAAATTATTTACCATGCTTTGTAAGTTATTAGGAGTGAATTTGCCATCAAACTTTTATCGAGGCTTATTTACCGGCAGTGATAAATTTTTGGGACTTATCATTATATATATTATTCTTTTAATAATTAAGTAGTAATTATATCAGCATGAACCACTTCTGGTGTCATTTTTTGTGTAAAAAAAAAAAAGATAAGAGAATTAATAATTAGACGTAGAAAAATTAATGAAAGAAGTGCAAAAAACCAATGTGCATATATGAGCATATGGTTTGTCTGCAAGCACCGAGAGACAATGAGTGTCTAAAGTCAAAGGAATGGACCTTAAAAGTTTGTTCTTCGACTAACTAGCTGTAAATAAGGAATGACATGGATCAAGATCTTCTGAATACAATATAGCCTCTTTATTGGGCGATATTATAGGAATAATTTTTTTATATTATTTTTTAATATAATTTTTATATATTATTAAATAAATAAATACATTTAATATTATGAATTTCATATAAATAAAAAAATAAATTATTTAAATAATATATCAAGTTATATAAAAAAATAATAACAAAATTATTTCAAAATTATTTTTCACTTTGATATCAAAGAGTGCAACTTTTTCTTCTATAGTAAACAGTAGCACACGCTGTTTGTGACCCAACCATTTGTGGTAAGCTGTCAAACCCATATCCCACTGTTTCTAGGCTATCCTTTTTGTTTAGGGTCTCTATTTGCATGTATTATATATAATAGCTGTCATGTATATGAATTATATGGTGTAAAAAGTGGAAACTGTAGTAAGAGATCAAAGTTATTTATTATTATTTTTCATGATGAAAAATATCAAAATTTAGAAATATTCTTCAACCAACAATAGGCGTGTTTCAAACGGTCTGTTTTGGTCTAATAGTATAAACCTTAAGTTAATGTCATTCACCTCTTGTAGATAATGTATTCGAGTCTCATGAATCTTCTTTTTTTCTTCCTTCAATTAATACATATAAATAATTTTAATATACTCAAAAACAATAGGTGAAAGCTCGAAGCCTTATAAATTAGTTAACTAATACATCTAAATTTTAATTAGTATTAAATTTTAAATTATAATAATATCATAGAAATATTTCCTTTTTCCTTACACTAGATTATATATAACTGTCAAAAAAAAGGAAAAATAGACGTGTCTCGGTTAGAATCTCATGAGCTGCGTCATTACCCCACGCACAAAGATAAAAAGATATCATCAAAGTTATCTACGTAATGGCAAATTGACAATATATATATATATATTTTGAAAATAGTCACTCGAAAAAGTTAAAAGACAATCTTTGTGGTTAGATCAAGCAACAGTTATGTGATTCGTGCTTGAAAAATTCGGTTTGAATCCCTTCATAGTTATTTCAATACAAATAATTTTAAGAAATCTCTTAAGAATTGTAGATTGATTTAGATATCTATATAAATGACTCAATTGGCCTAAAAATTAAGGTACCATAGTATAGTATCGAAAGAAAAGTTCAAGAACAAGACAAAATAAGGCAAGAAGCAACCACAGTGGGGAAAAGATTTGAGCATCATTTATAGGACTTGTTTGGACCTCATTTTCTTTAGTTGATGAGAGCTTATATGCGCTTCATTATTCTTTAAAGATTAAACTCTCATTTTGCTCCCTCAACTTTTATAGGGACCCTCAAGTGAGTCTCTTAATTTAAAAAGTTTTTAATTTAATTCTTAAAATTTGATATTTTAACTCTAACTTAATCCCTTTATTAAAAATCCACTAACTTACCACGTTACTTGACCGCATAATGATAACATATAAAAACAATAATGCACATAACAAAACATTACTACACCTAAAGAGACAAGAGACAGCATGATAAAAAAAAAAAAAAGACATTGCAAAAAAATAATAATATGGTAAAAAAATGACAATAAAAACCCTTTTTTTTTTCTCCTTTCCTCTTTCTTCTTTCTCTCCTCCTTCCCTTCTACAAACCCTAATTACTCGCCAAAAGCATACTTTTAACTCTTTATCTTATTAGATTTGTAAGTTTTAATCCCTCACCTATACTATGACATTTTTAGGCCCTCATTTATTAGAATTAAAGAAAATAACCTTCATTTATAACATTTTGTTAGTTCTATTAACTGACTATTAATTCTATTAGTTAACTATTAGTTGACTATTAATTGACAAAAACTTACTTTTATATAATAAATTAACAGTCAGTTAACAAAAATATTTTGTTAGTTGACTGTTAACTCTATTAACTAATTGTTAGCTCTATTAGCTAATTGTTAGCTGACTGTTAATTGGTAAAAATCTACTTTCAGCTAATAAAATTAACAATCAACTAATAGAGTTAACAGTCAATTAACAAAACTAACAAAATATTATAAAGTGAAGACTATTTTCTTCAATTCTAATAGATAAGGGACTAAAAATATCATAATATAATGTTAAAGACTAAAACCTATAAATCTAATAAGATAAAGAGATAAAGTAGAATTTTGCCTAATTGCTCATCCTCCAATTGTCCTACTTATTAAACCGAGAAACCAATATAATTACTACTGGTCAGAAACGAGAAGAATAAATCCAAATGAGAAAGGAAACGAACACAAAACCTAAAATATTGTTCAAGGTCCTGTGAAGCTGAGCAAAGGAAACACTTTGCACTTAACTTTTAATTTTGCTCTAAAGCTTCCAAAGTCTCCAATATAATTATTTTCAAGCAAGGAGCAAAACATCAAGCAAATCATTCGGGCACTAACGGAAATATCATAAATACCCAAATATTCTCTCTCTAAAAGATTTGCTCTGACTTCTCTCTTCCATGGCAATGTCCCCAAATCCAAGACCATCTGCTCAAGAAAACGATCTCTTGTGTAGATCAATCAAGAGAATTAAAGGTGATGAATACCCTCCAATTGTAGAGGAGTACCAGATGGTTGAGCCTGCGGTGCAGCCACTTTCCTACAAAAATCTAGTTATGAGATCGGAACTGCCAATTGAAATTAGCTGCGATGTATCCTCTAATCTGGGTTATCTAGAGGAAGAATCTGACATGGAAGATGATGGTTCTATACCGACTCTTCTCATTTCCAAAGAAGAGAAAAGGCGAATCTGTTCTTTGTGGATGAATTCCATAATTATCAAAGCTTTTGGTACTGATGTTGCTGGGTATAACTTCATCTACCCAAGAATTAAGGCACAGTGGAAACCCAAAGGCCATATAGATTGCATCGATTTGGGGTTGGATTTCTTCCTCATTCGATTCCAAGAGCGAGAGAACCTCTTGAAGGTTCTTAATAGGGGTCCCTGGTTTGTTGGGCCTTTTAATTTAATAATACATCAATGGGAACCTTCCTTTAACCCTGAGACAGCTGCATTCACTACCACAGCTATTTGGGCAAGGCTTCCCTGACTACCAATTGAGTACTATGATACCAAGATTCTTGAAAGAATTAGTAATCTTTTAGGCACTCCTCTTCGAATTGATGCGCATACGGTTCACAAATCAAGTGGATTTAGATGAGCCTCTGATTCCATGCATTAAAATTGGCAATCATGTCCAAAAAATTCTCTATGAAGGTCCAGTTGCTTTATGTTTTGCCTATGGGTGTGTGGGTCATAAAGAAAATAAATGTTCCCTTAAAGTTCCCCTTCTCGCTGATCCTGTTCCTATGGGAATGGAAAATAATAGTCAATCGCCTTCTGTTGTGATAGCTACTTGTAATACCCCAAAATTTCTAAAATATTAAAGTTGAGTTAGGGACTAATTTGCGAGGAAATATTGTTAATGGCCTTAATAATAAAAATTTTCAAAGTTCAGGGACTTGAAAGGGGGAAAACTTAGGATAAGGATCAAGCTGATTTTCTTCTTTTTACTTCCAGCCAGTTTCGGGTTCTGCTCATCATCTTCTTTCCCGTCCCCCGCAGCTTCCCCCTAAGCCACCGACTTCCTCTTCCTTTGAAAACGGGTAAAAAGGCTTGAAATTTCTCCTTCTTGCTTGTTCAATCACAAGATGTGGGGCTTAGAACTCTCCCTAAAGCCAAACTTTTTCAGATCTGCAGCTCTTCCATCCCTGTCCGTGACTTGCTCTTGGTTGGGTGAGAATGAATCTTCGGTTTTAGGTAAGGAAACAGCCATGAATTCCTCTTTTCATCCTTAAATTGGCTTGGGTTCACTTTAATTTCCTTTGTTTCCTTCAATTGCCGGTAGTTCTTCTCCAAAAACCCACCGGTTTCCTCACCCATCAACTCCGGTTCTGCTGTTGCCAGAAAATCCTAGTTTGATGGCCACTCCTCTAAGTCCGAATTACCCACTTAATTGCTGCTTGTTGAGTTTTAATTGGTTGAATTGATACCCTTGGTTGTCCGAAAATTCTGTGGAAATAGGAAGAAATTCGGCAGCCATTTAAGTATATAATTTTAGCTTAAATTCATGTAGAAATGGCTTGATTTGGCTGTTGTAATGTTGTGTAGGAATAATCCCGTGACTTAGCCATTGTTGGCCAAAGCCGTGGGTCTCCATTACTTGTCCGGGAAATTGGAAAATTGGTATATATGTGTGTGGGTATAATTAAACCAATAGAAGGAAATAAAATAAAATAAAGAAATCAATATTGCTGATGAGATTAATGACCGGCAATAATAGAAAAGAATTGAATGTTTAGTTTGTAATATAAGAACAAATTAGGAGACTGATAGAAATAGCATCGTGATTAGGGGTAGTCCTAATGATAATTTCCCTTTAAATTTGTGATAGTGCAGTATTAACTTTGGAATATTGTGATTAGGTTTTGATCGTTCTGTCACTGTAGCACTTAGGTTAAGCTTTCTGTTTTGTGCGAGTGAGGTAAGTAAATTATGGTAAAGCCCTTTAATTTTAAACCATGTTTTAAATTGTTTTTGAAATGGTGGCAAGGTTTAAATTGATTTAAATCGATTTTATTTACATCGAGCATAATTGGTTTGAAATGAAATTGTTTTCATTTGCATTGAGTAGAGCATGCCTATTTGGAATGGACTGAACTGCCGTGATGAACCGAGAATTTTGTAAATTTTGAGTTTTTCTGTTAAATCCATGCTCACATGAAAATTGTGATGATTTTTTATGAAAATTATTATTTTCTGGAATTGAGCATGATTGGAATGAAAATGAGAATTTCATTGTTTTTCTAGAGTTGAGCATGCCCACATGAAATTTTTTGGTTTATTCTTGAAATTGCAATTAATGGTGAATTATGAATTTTTTGTAAATCCTGCATGTTTTTGTCTCTTATATAGTCATGATTACTAACGCCCGCCAGTGGGAGTTTGCAAACACTGGCACATGTCGACATGTTTACTGATATGATCGGTTTATTTTGTAATCCTATCAGTGGGATAATACATTGGTAATTACTGACGCCTGCCAGTGGGAGTTTGCTAAACACCGGTACCATTACTGACGCCTACCAGTGGGAGTTTGTTAAACACTGGTACTTCTGTAACCTTGCCAATGGGGTTAAATATTGGTTATTACTGACGTCTGCCAGTAGGAGTTTGTTAAACACTGATACTTCTGTAACCCTGCCAATGGGTTTAAACATTAGTTATTACTGACGCCTGCCACTGGGAGTTTGTTAAACACTGGTACCATTACTAATGCTTGCCAGTGGGAGTTTGTTAAACACTGGCCATGACTTATAGATGAGACTACTAATGAGTTTTATTATGCATGAATGGTTTATCATTGAAAGTTCTGTTATGCTTACATAGTTTATTTGGCATGCTTAAAATTTTTACCAAGGGCTATCCATATTTACTTACTAAGTTATCTCATAGTTTTCCTTGTCCATCATTTCAGGAAGCGAAATCGAGGACAGGGAAACCAAAGGGAGTGACGAGGTAGAAGGCTAGCCATTTCTAATCGGATATAAGTTTTAGATTTTATCATCCTTTTGTAAGGTAAATTTTATTCTTGAGATTTTGTGTATGATTAAGTTTCAAGCCTTATGCATTTGTGGGACTCGTCTCATGAGTGCACGGCGTCTGTCACGTCCCCGGATTTGGGTTCTGGGGCATGACACTACTGATCAAGAATTGGAAAATAAAGACCAAAATTCTTTTGGACCATGGATGGTTGTCGAAAGGAAGAAAGGTAAAAAGAAGTTGAACACCAAGAATTCCCAGTTCTCATTACAAAATGAGAAACAAGACTCTACCCAGAGAACCAACTCAGTGAGTGAACTCGAAAACAATTGGAAAGAACGTAAGCATGTGGGTCCCAAAACCAACGGGTCTGGTGCAGGAGCATTAAATGACCATACCATTTATCAAAATGCCACTCGAGAACCGGTCCAAAACTCTGGTATCTCTTCAGAAGTTGGGCCTATTCGTAAGGGGCCCATGGTAAGTTTGGATGTTGAGATTACAGCCCATACTGATCCTAACTCTTCTTTGGTGCAGGTCAAACAAAAAGGTCGTAAAGATAAGGTCTCTAATAGGGATAAGATTACATCTATTCCCAAAGAAACACGTGGTAAGATCATTTCATGAATAGAGCAAAAAGAAAGTTCTCAGAATGGCCAGAACCTACAAGTTGAATCGCCCTCCTCTGATCGAAATGTGGGTCATGGATCCGGGGTCTTTCGGGATGTTGAGCCGAGTGTGGGACATCTTGCTGGTCAAAGAGGACAACAAAGTCCTCCCAATGGAGAAGGCATTGTCACTTATACTAGAAAGGGACTCCAGTCTAGTCGAAGGGTGGGATCGGGACACAATTACAAGGAAATGGATCAGCCCCATTGTGATTCAAAAGGGGGTGGATCCCACACCTTACCTTCCCCCTTTGACAGAGTGGGTTCCTCTTCCGCCTCATCTTCAAGCTCCAGATATGTGCATAATAACGAATGCACAATGGAACTCGATGGAGGAGCAGACGGGGTGGGACATATGGGAGGATCAAATCTCACCTCAAATTACATCCATTCCCCAGAATTGCCCATTTTTGAACAAGATCTCGATGATGGGATGCATGAAAACAGTCCATCTGATTGTCCGAAGGGAAGAGGTTCCATGTTCCATGGGGGATTGGTTTATACAGATCATACTCCCCTTTTACTTTCCAGAGGTGAACATGCTGATCAAGAGTTGTTAGACAGGGGCCATTCAGTGGATACAAGAACTGGGCAGATGGGTCATGAACTCTTTCAGTGACTCTATTTGGTCAATGAAGATTATGTCTTGGAATTGCTGCAGTGCGGCGAACAACAACTTTAAGCAATCTATGATGGATATTAAAAGAGAACATAATCCTGGTATCTTTCTTATCATGGAGACTAAGCTGGCAGGGAATAGGGCTATTGAAGTTGCTCAAACCTCGAATATCCCAAGTGGGAGATTGTCGACGCTGATGGTTTTGTTGGAGGCATTTGGTTGCTTTGGGATGATACTCGCTTTACCATTGACATTCTGAACAAAGGGTCTCAAGTTATCCACGGCTTGGTTCAGGTAAAAATTCATCCTTTTCTTTCTAATTTTCATTGGTATTTTTCTGCAGTGTATGGTAGACCTCAGTTTGAAACTAGATGTTTGCTTTGGGATAACCTTATGGAATTCTCCCAAAACATCACTGGTTCTTAGTTGGTTGTTGGAGACTTTAATGATGTTATTGCACAATCTAAAAAGTTTGGGGGCAATCATGTTCCATTCTATAGGATTCGTGCGTATACTGAGTGTATGAACTCATGTGGTTTAATAGATTTAGGCTTTAGAGGGCCTAAGTTCACCTGGGTTAATATGAGAGAGCATAATCAAATTATCAGGGAAAGATTAAATAGGGCCTGGGCAAACCCTTTATGGAAGGAGGTGTTTCCTGAGGCTCTTGTTAAGCATGTCCCTCGGGTTTCTTCTGATCATTGTCCCATTATGGTGGTTTTGAATCCTTTCATCCCTACCATTGGTAACAAATCATTCAGAATTGAAAAATTCTAGATGGATCATCACTCTTTTAAGGATTTTGTTGCTATTCACTGGAATCATTCTGCCCTTCCTCTTGCATGCTGCTCCACCAATTTTAAATCTGCTGTTAAAGTTTGGAGCAAAACTACCTTTCATAATATCCATAAAAAGAAGAAGGAGATTATTGCTCGGCTTATTGGTATCCAAAGATATCTCTAGTTTAAAAATAGTAATTTTCTCCTTCACCTTGAACGAGAACTCACTAGTGAGTATCAAAGGATTCTCAAACAAGAAGAAGATATGTGGTTCCTAAAATCTTGTGCCCAATGGATCCAAGAGGGGGACAAAAATACTAAATTTTTTCATGTATCTACCCTCAAAAGGAGATCTTACAATAGAATCATTGGTCTTAAGGACCATAATGGGATATGGTAT